AAAGTGTCACGGTACCAAGGACTTAAGTTCTCAGTCAATAGCGGCTCATGGTAGGTTAATCTTGCATTGCTCAATGCGCAATGTGACTAAGTACATTTGATCTAGTGATATACGAAACACCATAATATTAGAAACTTAAGTTGTACATACCACCATCGAGGATATAAAGATAATAATTGATAATTATTTGATAAAATTGATATTATCAATTATCATTAAAATTATGATGGCAATTGTAAATATGAAACTCATTTCTTCCCTCCTTTCACGTGATCATTTTCCTCAACAATTGACGAGCTTATTCCTTCCTCTCCCGACTGCACTCAAAGTCTCCAACAAGTGATCAACTCTTCCTTTCTCTCCCCATATGATTCTAGTGCCTTGAGATTCACAAGCCTTGTTGGAGATTTTCTAATGGGTGATAATTCGAAGGGAACATGCAATTTGGGTTTGGTAGGTAAGGTCCATGAAGTATTTATATAATTAAAAATATAAGAGGGAGAATGCGTAAATGAGGTCTAGTAGGAAGAATAAGAGGATTGAAAGAATAAGATAAAATAATGATGAGAATAAAGAAAAGATGGGGAGAGAAAAAAAGGCAGAATAAGAGGGCGTCGACGAGAGAGAGAAAATAGGGTATGTGGTGACGGTGGAGAGAGAGAGAACGGGCATTCTCGTGGTGAGGAAAATGTGGGTGAATAATTCAATATTAATTAAAGGGGCGGAGGGAGAAAAAGGTGGCAGAATGAGAGTGTCATCAGGAGAGAGGGAAAAGAGGGGTTTTGTGGCGACAACAGCGGAGAGAAAAGAGAGGGTTTGCCATGGCGAGGAGATGAAATGGCGACAACGGAGTGGATAGCAAGGAGGTGGAGTGATGACGACGGAGCAGATGGCGAGGAAGAGAAACAGCAACGATGGGGTGGACGGCGAGGAGGCGAGACGATGGCGATGGGGCGGACAGTGAGGAGGTGGGACGACGACGACAGGGAGGACAGCAAGGAGGCAGGAAAACAGCGACGAGGTAGTTGGCAAGAAGGGGAGTGGTGGTGATGAGGCAGATGGCAAGGATGGAATGGTCGATGACAGGGCGGATGAGGAGGAAGAGGAATGGGAGCGTCGGGGTGAATGGCGAGGAGTCGGGACGATGGCAATAGGGTGGCTGTCGAGAAGGGGAGTGGCGCGGCGGGGCAGACGGCAAGGAGGTGGAATGGCGGTGACGGGGCAGATGGCAAGGAGGTGAAATGGCAGTGGCAGGGCAGATGGCGAGGATGACATGAAGAGGAAGAGATGGAGGTCCCCCTAATCCAAGAGGGCAAGAAGAAGAGAGGAAGCCCCTAGTCTAAGAGGTGATGAAAGGAGGGGAGGAACCCCCAGTCCAAGGGGCGAGATGGAGAAAGGGACGACCTTCTAATCCAATAAGGTAAGATAAACTTCTTAATTAATTTTGTAAAATCACTGTGTCAAATATAATACGAGTCTTAACATTTATAGAGGGGAATGGGAGAGCGGTGGTTTCCATGAAATAGTGAGAGAGTGAGAAGGAAGGGGTGAAGGAGACACCCTCTTTCATGTGGCACCTCTTGGTTGAAATGACACCCCATTTAAGTAGAGGACTGACGTGAGGATGACAAGGCATCTTCTTCCCATTCTTCTTCTTCTTGTTGTTAGGCCATCCTTTGTGGATAGATCCTCTTCTTGTTGTTAGGTCATTCCTTGTGGATAGATCCTCTTCTTGTTGGTAGAGACCCATTGGTCTTAGATCCAATATTCTATGTTGGATCTAATAGAGGAGGAAGGTGTCGATTGACTTAGAACTCTTCGAGGTGGAAGAACCTTGATTCTTACATTGACTTAAATTTACTTTCTTGAGTGAAAGATTTTTCATTGAATTTGGTGATCCCATCATAATATTTTACGATAATGAATATTTTTCTATTTTTAGATACAAAATCAACAAGATTAAAAGTTACTTAATGATCGTTGAATTGTTAAAACAAGGTGAAGACATTCATGACTAACGTCATGTCATGTGTGTGAATTCTTGAGTACATATTTATTTTAGAATCATGATCATTGTAAAAATAAATTAATTGTGTTTCTCTTTTTCTTTATTATTATCTTATTTCTCTTTATTTTTTTCTCGTGAGACCTCTTTTTCTCTCTTTGTCTCTTGTGAAATCTCTCCCTCTCTCTCCCTCTCTCAAAAGATTTCTTCTTCTTTTTCTATCTCTTGTGAGATCTCTAGATCTCTCTCCCTCTCTCTTGTGAGACCTTTCTCTCTCTCTATCTCAGGTGAGATTTTTCTCTTTTTATCTTTTCCTCTTTCCTTTCTCTTCTTCCCTTTTTTTATTCTTTTCACTTCACCTTTAATTTTTCACGACACATTAATCAATCTCTTTATGTTAGATTTGAGACTTACATCTATACTAATATTTTATTAAGTCTTAGTTATAAATATTATTAGATAAAAGACATTTAAATACAATGACAAGCTTGCATCAGTGACAACTAGTCACATGGAGGCATGCAAGTGGGCTTGTGGACTTGTAGGCCTGCCTCCATTTTCTCAACTAATATGGTCATTTTCAGGTGCCCAATTTTTTCTTTATTTATAGGGTACAGAACTCTATACTTCTCAGAAATGCATACTTGAGAAATCCCTCTTGTTGTTGGCAGTTGTTGGAAAATTCAATCACTCTCTCTTCCTTCTTTCTATAGCTCTCTTCCTTTTTTCTTCCCTTTTGAAGGGGGTTATTTCTGTAGCGGCTCATCTCTCCAATGAAGACAATGAATTTTCATATTTGATATCAAAATAAATTATCATTAAAAAGGTAATGATAAGACAAAAAGATACTATTTCACAGAATATTAGTTATGTTATAAAATGTACCTATTCCTAAGTATTTACTAAAAATGAATATAATATGAGGGGAGATAAAATAAATAAAAATTGTAATGATCACGTGCCTTTGTGACAAGATTGAACCTATGAATTTAATTTGATATCCTAAATATGGAAACTCAACCATGATGAATTCACGTGAAAGCAACTACTAAACCCGGAAGATGGCCCGGAGGAAGACAATAGGCTGCCGTTGTTTACGGCAGGTCCCGTCTGTGGAAGGTGGATTTTTTATTTTTTTATCGGTGCAACTTCTCCATGGAGCTTCCTCTCCCTCCCTCTTTACTGGGCACGGGGAAGAAATATCTCCCTGGCGCAACTACCTGTAGCCTTCCCTCACCGATGACGACAGTTTGTCCCCGACGGATAGTAGTGTCAGGATTTCCGGTTCAAACGGACAACGAACCCGCCACCAACCCTCCTCACACGGTTCCCGCAAACTGACGAGATCGTCCTTCGCGCCGCCGCCGAAGGTAAATAAGTAGTAAACGCTGGATTCCGCGAAGGGGATAGATATAAAGAGGGCTTCCCCGGTGGATCCACATGTTGTTTCTGACTGGCACGCCGCTGTAGCGGGATTCATTGCAACGTGAAAATTAGGAGATCGTTCGGATCAGAATATTATTGTGAAGATTATTGGCATGTTGCAAATTTATTTTAACCTTGATCCAATGTGCAAAGGATAAAATTAGAACGAATGTAATTTATAGACGTCCTTCTCCAACGTGCTGATCAATCCTTCCTCGTAAGTGCAAAACACTGGTATGAAATTTATTAAAAATGTGAGAGATATTTGTACGGGGGTTCATTAGTCATCTATACCCGTAAACTAGTATCCATGCGGATATTTCCCTCGTGTTTTTACCATTCGCCACAGGTCCATGGAAACCTTCTCAAAATCGGTCTTTCGGGCCAAAGATATTTATAGGAATCTTCTTCTTTTCAACATTACGTCATTTGAAACTACAGAGAATGCGTCACTACTTACTAGATATCATTAGCAAATATATTTCTCAATTTTAATAGAGAATAATTTATATGAAATTATGAATTTTATTTTAAAATTTTAATTCATCGATTTAAATATTTTTTAAGGCCACCATTTTTAATGTTTCAGCTTTTTCAAATATTTTTATGATTATACATTTGGCTGTATTAATCTGATGATTTTTTTTATAATTGAAGTTTGATATCTATTAATCTAATTTCCTTTTTATGATTTATTTTTTAGTTATTTAAAATTTTAATATATAATATAAAATTTTATCTTAGCTACTTAATTAATTAGTCCCCTCTCGGAAGCGGACGGAATGAGAGAGATGAATGCGGAGAGATCCACGCACTTCTCGAAACGGATGAGAGGAGGGGCAGGGGGGAGGCAGAGACGGGCGGAGGGACGGAGGGGGGGGGAGAGAGAGAGAGAGAGAGGTAGGGACCGGAGGAGGGACGGATGGGTACCCAGGGGTGGGAGAAAAACGAGGTGGGCGAATCTCAGGTTTAGAATCTATGCAAAGATATTCTTTCTACATTCGGTTGATAGAAGTTATTTACATCTACTGTCGATTTTAACGGGGGGGAATTCTATAAGAGTGTTCAATTTACCACCTGTCGTTTGAGAGGGAGTTCTAGAAAAAAAACTCAACTTAAATGACCCAAGAAACCAGCGAATGACCTTGGATATCAGATATATGTATATATTTGTGGTTATGCATACGACCACAGCACAGCGGACTAATGCTTTCTGTATTCTTTTATAATACGAGGTATTTTAAAAAACAATCGACAACACAATGCTGCAAATACCAAATGATAAAAGACTGATTCAAATCACCTCCAACATTCATAAATAGGTGGTCAAATGTGTTTGGAGATGAAACTCCTACATCCACTCGAACTACATAAAACAGATATAGAGACAACTGAAGAAGGATGATCCTCCCGAATCCCATTCTTCACCAACTAGAAGACACAACGCCAAGTAGGAAGAGTAGAGAGTCTTTACCTCTTCCTCTCTTCTCCAACCCCTAAAACTCCACCTGAAGCAGCTGCCTCCCTTCTCCGCGGAGCTTCGGTAAACCTATGGTTTCGAAAATGACTCTCACTTTTCCCCCAGCCTCCCCAATCCCGTAAAAGGGGGAGAAAAAGTACTTGCCCTTTTCTAGCTATTGAGGCCTTATTTCTTGTTCACTTCTTTTTGGGCAGTCAACTATAACATCTTAATAGACTCAACGGCCACGTTACTAGAATGCAGGGGTCGCCTTGAGTCGGAGGGGCGATTTCAAATGCACGACGACCCCAGAAGCCTCCGTTGTGTCGACATCGTTGGGCTTCATCCCGTCGGGAAGCTCCCAATCGAAGCAGTACAAGAGGTTTGCCAGGCTAGCTGCATCGAAGTCACGGCAAGGTTCATCCCAGGGCAAATTCTGCGGCCCGATGAAAAAGGTATGTACTGGAAGTCCTGGCCCATGTACTGGAGATCCTCTCCTCGAAGCGCTCCGGCCAGAAGACGTCTGGGTCCTTCCACAATCCTGGGTCCCTCATAATAGCCCAGAGGTTGATCAACACCGCTGTCTTCGCCGGGATATGGTATCCGCAAATATTTGCGTCCTTGAAGCTTTCGTGAGGAACAGATAACGGAGCGGGCGGGTGTAGGCGGAAAATCTCCTTCACTACTAGGTTCAGGTAGGGAAGATTCGCGATGTCGCTATCCTCCGCCATCAGCTTTCTCCCCACCACCCTCCGCACTTCCTCCTGCGCCTTCTTCATCACCCGCGGGTTCAGGACAAGCTCCAACATCCCAAACTCCGTGCTCGAAGCCGACGTGTCCGCCCTGCCGAAGAAGGTTTCCTGCAAGGGGAAGAGAAGAAAGAGCTGGTGAAATCAACGCATAATACGCGTAAGCGTTTAGGAATCGGGCTTTCTTCCTGAAACAGCCGGGACACCCAAATGATGCTCTTGATTTGTTCGCGGGTTAGATTAAAGCCGAGGGAGGTATCCTGCTGGAGGCGAAGGAGAATGCTCATGAAGTCTGTCTCGTCGTCGCTATTGCGCCTGCGGTGGGCCTCGATCTGCTCATCGAAGAAGTTGTCGAAGAAATGAAAAGCCTTCTCGAGACGGGCGTGTAAACCTGTAACGACGTTGAGCCATCCCATCGAGGGGAAGAGATCGGAGGGGGAGAAGCCGGTGAGGAGCTCGATGGAATCCCTAGTTTGATCGTGGAACTTGCTTTTCTGGCACTCGCCGTCGTTGGAGCTGTTGGATCAATCTTTCTGCGATTTCCCCTGATTTCACTTTTTGACTCTGTTCGCGTTTTAAACTTGGCCGTCCATCTTGCACCTTATAACGGCTGAGATGAAAGCCAGCGTGGCGACGGTGATGAGACGAATTGGGGCCTTCCGTTTGGTAAAGTTACGATTGGGCAAGTATAAAAAGGAACTCGCTAATCTGCAGGCGTGGTGCAGATTTTTACTCGATTTCAATTCCATTGTGTGCAATCTTTCCTTCCCGTTTCTTTTCATTTGGTATCAGAGCAGGTGCTGGTCTAGGGCTTGTTTCCTTGACAAAAGATGCCACCGAAGCGAGGGAAGACGTCTTCACAGGATCTTGCGGTTATGACAATATTGAGAGGCTCAAGTCAGTAGCTGCATATCGGAACGTTTCCGATTCTCACCAGATCGAACTACCAGGTGTGGGCGACGCGGATGCGGCTGCATCATGAAGGACTTGAACTATGGCATGTAGTGGAGACAGAGAATGCACCGAGGAAGAAAGATCGTCAGGTGATGTCGATTATCTTCAGCACGATTTCAGATGAAATCACGCGGGAATTGGAAGTTGAAAAATCTGCACGAGAAACGTGGCAAATACTCAAGGTCAAAGGCGGAGGAGTGTCACGTTTGCTCAAAGGCAGAGTTCAAGCTCTGAGGAGAGATCTGAAAAATCTTTCCATGGATGACGGTGAGGTAATCCTGGATTTCTTCGTCAAGATTTCATCTATTGTTGTTGAATTGAGAAGTCTTGGTGAAAATATCAGTGAATCTGTTGTCTGTGCAAAGGTTTTGAGATCAGTGTCTGGCAAATTTGATTCCATTACTACTTCTATCGAGCAATTTCAAGATCTGACTGCGATTAGTCTTGATGATGTTGTTGGGACTTTGAAACTTCATGAAGATAAGTTGAAGGAGCAGTCTATGAAGAGAGAGAGAAAGCTCTTCTGGCTAGAGCACGAGGAAAAGAAAAAGCTCTTGATTCCGAAAGCTCGAGAGGGAGAGGCAGAGGTAGAAATGGCAGAGGAAGAGGCAGACGAAGAGGGAGAGGACCTCCGAAGCAAGGTGGATATGAGGCTGATTTCAAACCTCCTAGAGACAAATCCAAGGTGAGATGTTATAATTGTCAAGGCATGGGGCATTACTCAAATGAATGCCGAAATCCGAAGAAAGAAAGGCCTAAGTCAGAAGGTGTTGACCAAGCCAACGTCATTAAGGAGGAACCTGCTGAGATTTCTCTCCTAATGGCACATGAAGAAGGAAAAATTGAAGTGCTTATACAAGGAATTTTGCAGACTGACTTACAAAAAGGCATGTGGTACCTTGATACAGGCACTAGCAGTCATATGACTGGTTTGAAATCACTCTTCTATGAGCTAGACGAAGCTTATAATGGGAAAGTGAGATTCGGTGATGACTCAAAGATTAATATTGAAGGCAAGGGAAGAATTCTCTTGAATGCACATGATGGGACTACTATTAGCCTATCTAATATGCTCTATACACCTAGCTTGTAGGCTAATATACTCAGCCTCGGGAGGTTGGACAAACAAGGGTATAAGATTCTTTTACACAATGGACTATTGACAATCTATGATCCACAAGGGAAATTACTAACTAGAGTACAAAGAAGCACCGGTAGGCTTTATCTACTCAAGTTAAATATTGTGGAGAGGTGTTTAAAAGTAAGTGAAGAAACAACATGAAAATGGCATCATAAGTATAGACATTTGAATTTTTCCTCTTTACGTTTATTATCTTCTCAAGGTATGGTTTAAGGTTTACCCACGATGGAGAAAATTATAGATCTATGTGAAGATTGTGTTATCTCAAAGTAGACTAGAGTGTCTTTTTCCGAATCCTCTTCATTCAGAGCCTCAAGAGCTCTAGAATTAATCTATGGGGATTTATGTGAGTGATAAGTCTTCATTATCATGAGTTAATAATTAGTAAATAATATAGTTTTATCTTCAACTCATGATAAATAAACTTATATTCATGTTAATTATGAAAAGTGATTTTTAATTAATTAATGTGATTTTTTGACTAATTATGTGATTTTATACAAATTTATATGATTTTTTTAGTCTTATTTTTTAGATAAATGAAAAAAAAAAAAAAGGGGGACCTATTAGCTAGCCAAGCCTACAAGCAGGTCAGAAGTGTAGTCGTGGGAAGCCACGAGCAAGGGCTCAAGTTGTTATGGACTGATGGGGGCATGTGTACGTCACTTCTTTTTCATGTCATTGATGGTCAACTAGTTGTGGGGCAAGGAGTGGTCGTACACATCAGATAAAAGGACTCATTGATTGAAAATGTGATATTATTATATATTCACCTAAAACTTTGGCATACAATTGATGTAGGACTAAATCCGAGTCTAAAATAGTTTTGTTTATTTTAATACCTAAAATATTTATTAATTATAATAAAGATATACTATAATGATGTCACTTTATAAAGACATTAAAGTACTTATTTCAAACTCTCTTCTACAGGCAAGTGACCGGCTTGGGTTTGAATCTTACTAGAGCCAAAAACTCATATGTTTATCTGATTAAATCGCAACTTTTCTATAGATTACTGGTAAAGGATTAAGCCGTCATAATTGCTCCATCATTGACAAAAATCTAGTTAATGTGATTCGCAGAGTATTGTTACTAAAATTTTTAGATGATTCACGATAAAAAGATTACGAATCTATCAAGTAAAACATCTCTAATTAATCGACTAAGGATGAAGCTTTTTAACATACGCCCCACCTCCATCTAGCTCTTTTCCATTGTTGACAATCGTTGGAGAACCTCAAAGTCATGATTTTTCTATTCTGCCGAGTGATAATTGTTAAAGACAATTTGATGACTCATTTCATCGATCTTTGGACTTCACAAGAAGATTTAGAGATTGTCTATGTCATTGTTGTCTAAAAAGAGCCTTTAAGGTTATGGACATTACATGACAATCTTCTCAAATACTCAAAATTTTGGTACATCACCAACGCATCACTGTTGTAATACCAGAACTCTATTTTTCTACTTCCAACTTAATTTTTACCTCATTTAGTGATAATTTGTGTGATTTAAATTTACCAAACTATTCTTCATTAAATTACGATTCTTTCAATTTCTACAAATCTTAATTTGATCAATTAAATCATCTGTAATTACTTACGTAAGAATTGTCCAACGGAACTCTATTTTTACCTAATTTGGGTTCGTCAGGTGTTAACATCATCTTGCTGTCCACACCCTTATTTTTCTTTTTTGCAAATTTTAAATATATTATTTATATTTCTTATCTAAAATTCATATAAAATTGTATTCTTTGAGAAAAACTCTAAAAAATTATTTAATATTATATTACATCCCTATAATTGACTTGGAAAATTTTCACTATTTTTGGAACTTTTATTGAATTATAATTGATATATTTGTTCAAAAATATTTTTAAATATTTGAAAATTAGTATTTTCTTATTTTATAAATTTTAGATTTGCATGATGTACTATACAATGACTAAGTTACATCAAATTTTGGTGTTATTGCTGAGGATGTATTACATAATATTTAATATTTTTCAATTTTTCTCTTAGAGTACACAAAAAATTAACTCTTGTTTTATTTTTTTCTTATAGAAAAATTAAAGGAAAAAAAAAAGAATAAAGAGCAGCAAGGCAAAAACTGGAGCATACTGAAGGAGGGTAACAGTTATTAAACTTTTTCCTGAAATTTATTGATTTTTATGCATGGTAAAAGATCCTTACATCTAAGGCTAGAAAATCCTTTTATTATTTCATTCAAAACTAAAAATCTAAAAGAAAAATTAATTTTGATGGATCTTGAAGGAAGTGCAGGTCAAACTAAAAATAATTCTATGGTCATGAAAGATCATTATATCCATGACTCATTTCAAAGAGCATCTAATATTAGAGTTCTATTAACACCCACTTTTAAGTTTGAAATAAATCTATGAAATTTTCAAATGCTCCATAATTTTTATATATTGATTTTAGAGGAACCATATTAGCATTTAGAAAGATTTCATATAATCTGTGATTTAGTTAATCTCCCTCAAGTTACACCGTAAATTATTAAGATAAAATTATTTTTTCATAAACTTAGGGACAAAGTTAGTTATTGGTTATCCACATTAGTTATTGGTTATCTTTCTTCGAAAATTTTATCATTTAGGAAAAACTCAAAATATGAGAAAATATATATAGAGTTTTTTTCAAAGACTAGGAGAAACTTTATATAAGATATGAATTTTTTTTAAAGATTTACTTAAGAAGTATGCTCATCATGTTATACTCAAGTGGTAGCTCAATAGAATTTTTTATGATAGATTATTAGAACAACATAGAAATATGATTGATTCTATATGTAGAGGATCTTTTATAAAAAAAATTCCTGATGAGATTTACAACCTTTATGAGAATTTAAGTGAAAACTAGAGATTAAGTTTCTTTTGAGCTATATGATAGTGATAAAAAGAGAGAAATTTATGAATTACATCATCAAAAGAATTATAATTTAATAAATGAGGTTAATCAAATTAATTAAAAATTAGAAAAACTTGATTTACTTATTGACAATATTAAAAAGCCTCTTAACCCTTAATTTAATTCGAATAGTATATATCTTATGTATGGTGAAAATGATTATTCTGAATTTTAATATTATAATTTAGATCAATCATTTCACCCTATGCAAGAACAAGTGTAAGTAGCTCACGGTTTTAATAGAAATAGAGAGCCTTTTTCTAATTCTTATAATCGTAATTGGAGGAATAATTTTTCGTGAAGAGATCTAAATAATATTTAAAATTTAGAAGCACTTAGACCCAATTTAAACTCTAAATTTTGTCTAAAATAGAAAAATAGATTTAAGAAAATCAGTTCTCTCAAACCCAACTTGATGCTATAAAAATAATGTAGTAAATGAACCAAATGATGCAACAAACTATGAATTAAATGAGGTTACAGTAGAAACAAATTATAAATGAACTTTTGAAAATAAGAGAGAAGGACAATCACCCAATAATAGGATTTCAGCAAGGGGAGTCTAATAGTATGAATCTAAGAAAAAATCTACGAAATGAAAATATTAGGACAATGAATATATTAAGGAGTGGGAAGATTTTATTTAATCCTTATCCTCAAACATTAGAAGAATAGAAAAATGTGGACAACCTAAAACAAAATCAAATAAGAGTAGAAGGTAATTTTATAGATTTTACTAAGAAAATTTCGAAAGAGAGGACAACTATTCTATTTCCTAAAGCTCTAGAGCTTAAACAAAGAAAGAAAAAGGAACACAATGAAGAAATAAAGAAAATATTATAAGATGTGCAAATTAGTTTTCCTTTACACACTGTCATTGAACATATTCTTGAATATGCTAGAGTTTTGAAATAAATGTGTACACCAAAATGAATACATAGAGTACAAAATTATCTATGCATGTTAGTGCTTTATTATTAAATCAATTACCATAAAAATTGAGAGATATTGGTACCCCTTTAATTTCATGTGATATTAATGGATTCATTTTCAAAATGCATTACTTGACACTAGTGCTAGTATTATTTATTACCAAAATATTTGTGATAAATTTAATTTTACTGATCTTAGACCTTCTATTATTACCTTACAATTTACTGATAGATTCATAAAACATCCTAAAGGTATTTTAAAAAATGTGATAGTGACAATTAAAGGGTGTAAATTTCCAACTGATTTTATAGTGTTGGAAATAGATTTTAATGAATAATTCTATGATACATCAATCATCCTACATAGACCATTTGTGCATATAGTAAAGATGAATATTGATTTTCTCATAAGTATTACAAAAATTTCATGTGGGGATCAATTAGTAGAAATTAAAAATTTTGAGGTATCAAATGATCTTAAGAAATCCCAAGTATATGATTGTCATACTATAGATATTCTAGATCATTTTGATGATCCAAATGTTATTGATGACTGTGTGTTAGAAGAATTAAAGGAAATAGAGAATATAAATTTGGGAAAAAAGAAAGACAAAGATTATCTGAATTTAGAGTTGAAACTTCTTCCCTCTAGTTTAAAATATATGTTTTTGGAGAAAAATAAATCATTTCTTGTTATTATTGTAACTAATTTGAGTGATAAATAAGAAGAATAATTATTAGATGTACTTCAAAAAAATAAGAAGGCTATTGGCTAAAAAATAGATGATCGTAAGGGCATTGATATAAGTACATGTATGCATAGTATATATCTAGAGGAGAGGGTTAGAACTAGTAGGGAACCACAAAGAAGATTAAATCATAACATGATAGAAATTGTAAAAAAAGAAGTTTTAAGGTGGCTGACTGTTGATATTATTTATCTTATTTCAGATAACAAGTGGGTTAGTCCTACACAAGTGGTGCCAAAAAAATCAAGGATCACGGTTATAAAAAACAAAAATGGGGATGAAATACAAACAAGATTAACTACCGATTGAAGAGTTCGCATTGATTATAGAAAATT